TGCTCTATCCAAATGATGAACATGATTATGGGCTTAAAGCTGTGGAATTTATTTCTGGAGCATTATGAGAAATTAAATCCTCCCAGGTTTAATAAACGTTTTAACCTACAAGGTTTAGATTTGATCTTAAAAAATGGATTTACTTACGAGGAACAAATTTTCCATCAAATTTCTGGTTCTGTAATAAGTACAAAAATTGCTATAAAATATGCTAATATCACTATGTGATTTCTGGGAGTACAATTATTTAATATACTACCTAATTAGTTTGAAGAAAATTTTACAGAAAACAAATTTGGGGAAGGATTTCTTGATTATTATTATTGTGATATGGAAGGATACTCATGGTATCAATATGTCTATTTGGATTTTAAATTTGATAAATAAGGAAATTAGGTTTACCATTGAAAGAAATAAGAATGATCAGTCCTTCTTAGATGTGATAATGTTTCACCACAAAAAGATTTTAAAACTAATATTTTTTTAAAACCAACAAACTCACATCAGTATGTAGTATTTTTAGCATTAATCCCAAACATAAAATTAAATATTCCTGTAAATCTTGGAAGTATATTATATAGTTTAATTTCTAATTCAGAAATAAGAGTTAAGAGATTACTAGAACTAAACCAGTTTTTAGTTCATTAACACTATCTGGAAAATGTTCTAAGGTTTTGAAATTGCTAAGAATAACTTTTTTAATAAAAAATAATTTGTAGTGACTCATTGTCCAAATATACAGTGATATTTCTTTTGTAACTACACAATTAAAATAAATATAAGATAAATTTAAAGATATTTTCAAAGATAAAAAAATATTATATGAAGAAAATAACCTAAAAATTTATATAAATTACCTAATAAATGAAAAAAATGATTTTCTAAAAAAAAAAGTATTTTCAGTCGTGAAAGAAAGAATTGTGGCTCGTGTAATTTAAGTTATATAAAACTACAAAAACAATAAAAAATATTTTGTTTTTCATTAATAGTTTATTTAATTGCAATTCTAGAAATATATCTAACAAAATGTGTAAATTATGGTAAACTCTATGTTGGTGAAACATAGTTTAATATTAAGGATGAATTTTATTTTAAATCTTTCCAAAAAGCCCAGTATATATCAACAGGGGTGTCGAGATCCAGCCCAGGCCCCAGGGTCAGTAATTTCATTCTATTTATTAACTTTTGCTGATTTTTCATAAATGAAATTTAGGTGACAAATTTCATTATGAATCCATGAAAAAGCAGTAGCCATTTTATCTCATTAAGTAGTATGCATTTCTAATGAGCTTTGGAATATCCTACTGCCGGGGCCCCTCAACAGCCCCTGGGCAGCTGACCCCTCTCGTCAGCTGTGTATGTCAGCAAACATTTTCATGAAAATATTTTGAGCAAATTTAAAAATCTGAAAGAACCATATTTTTATGTTTTCCCTATTCAGTTTTGAAAAATATTTCATATATTTTTTGGTGCCAATTTAAAAAGATAGAGGTAAGAAGCCAAGATTAACAATAGCTGAAATTGTGCAAGTAAAAACTATAACTAGGAATTGCAAAAAGGACAAGAATGTAAATAAGAGGTATAATTTGTATTAAATTATTAAAGATTATAGAAATAAACTGCTTTTGTATAACAGGAAAAACACAATTAAAATAAAATTTTAATCAAACGGAAAATTATAAAGAAATAGAAAGTATATATGATAAGCTTTACTTATTTTCTTGAATCTATTTCAGTGTATTTAACTTATATAAGGATTGTATCTTAAGTTCTTGCATTTTGAAAAATGTTTAGTTGAGGTGATTTATGTTTAGTTAAAAAGTGGTATTTGAACATTTTCATTATAGATTATCTGTTAAATTAGATCCTGAAGAAAGACAAAACTGGTAAAAGAAAATAATGAAATTAATCTATAATACCACTGACACATTTTTTAAATTGTTTCTCACAACATTCAGTTTTTATTTATAATACAACAGTGTTAGTGTTTTAATTATTTCACATTTGGTTTTAAACATATATGTACCACCACAGTTTTAGTGAAATCTTTTGTGTATATTTCTTCTGAAAAATAAACTTGCAGTAGAATTATATTCTTGATAATGAAGAATACCTACTCTTAATGCATTAAACTACAAGCACACTGTGATAAAATTTCTCCATATCTTTTCTTAGAAACTGTAAAAGATAAGTTTAAAACAGAAATTTCCTATCTTGTGGTATTAATCTTTTATTTCTTGAAGAGTGTATTAAAAGTTTCAATAAGCAAGAAGCAATACAAGAAATAAAGAGTGGTTTTTATTTAATAAATTTTCAAAACTTAACATCACAACAATTATATCAATAAATACTTCAACTAATAAACAATTTTCTGCTGTTGTGTGGGGAGTACATGTGTAGTAATTGACATTTTTTATGTCTCCAGCATGGGTTCAAACCTGAACCATTCACACTAAAAGCGATTGCTCTTCCAACTGAGCTAAAAAGTTAACCCACTAGTACTCGCTAGTAAGACATATTAACAAACAACTACACACATACGTACAAGTTTAAATCAACTTGAAATTTTCTTATAATACTAAAAATCAACAACTGTCTGTAAAAACTTGAGAATAAAACAAAAAACAATAACATTAGGTGAAAATAAAAGTTATGTTCAATCAAATTTACAAACAAAATTTTATGACTAATAAGGCCACTTTTTCGGCAAGGTTATTTGTACCAGCCAGCAACTTACTTTGACTGTACTTTGACATTCCCAAAACATATCAGTTCAAAGAACACAGCAATTTTTTTATTAATTAAAATTTAACCTTAACATCATATCAACAATCCTTTCACTCTAAACACCCCAACAACAATATTAACAATAGTCTATCCACTCCAAAATACTTATAATTTTATATTAATTGTATCTAATCAACCACAGCACTTTTCTGACTTGCACGTAAATTGAGCAAGAAAGTGGCGATCAGGAAAGCTGCTGTCTGATTACATTATCCTTCAACACTATCACAGTGTTTCTACTTTTATTGGAAAGTAGTTCAATAATACAATGCAACAAATTAGGAACTTCATCAAAAAACAGTCCAATTAACTCAATATAATTATTATATGTGTGTATATAATATCATATATGCATATTGGTAAGCCTAAAATTATACCACGAACCAAATCATAATCCGGAGTTTTTAACACTTAACTAGGATACCAGAACAGCTACCAATACACATACTAAGAATACATTTAAAACTAATACTGAAAATACAATTAGTTACAGTTAACACTAATAGTTAAAATACCTGAAGTTATGGTTATTAATTAGCACTAATACTGAAAATATAATATTTAGTTATGGTTAGTGTTAATACTGGTCTTGAATTTGATTCTATAAAACTAGAAACATAGAATATTAATCTTGACATTTTTTTCTTTAATACAATATGCATCTAAAATATTATTTGCAACCTACAAGATTTATAGTAGGTATTTATTTTTTAAAGTCTAAAATTACATAATTTATTTATAACACATAAATATTTTGTATGTTATTTCCAAAAATAATGAAATCACAAATGGCCTCAATTACACATACTTTTTTTTTATCCTGGACATTTTCAAAAATTTTACTTAAACTGTGATAAAAATGTCTTAACAGTTCCAACAGCAATAAAAACAGATGATGTTTAACAGTTCCAATAGCAATAGAATAAAAGACTGAGTTATATTTACATAACTAATTCATAATTAACTACCAAGCAAATTCCTTTCCCATAATAACAAACTATAGATAAAATGAGATCTTGTGCTAATTACTACCACTAACAAGAAATCAAAGCTACACCAGTAGCTGCCATTAAGCATCCACTACAATTACAGAACATCAACTAAAACTAACAACCTAACAGCTATGAAAATATGATTGTCTCACTATTTTTATAAAACAAATTCTTCAAAAGAATTTTACAAAAGCAGATACATAGTAGTCTTTAAATTTTTCAATGATTATTAGCATACAATATGATTTTTTCTGGTAAACAGAAATGTTAATAGTTACATGCACCAGATTAAATTTAAAGACTTTTTAATGATTCTAGAATTAATCTTTTCAGAAAATTTAAACTTACTGGATATGGAATCAGTTATTTTGTTGATACTACAATTTTTCCAGAAATGCATAATTAACAATACCTTAAATTGTACAGTTTATAAATCATATGTTTGACAATGAAGATGAACACAATAATATAAAGCCCGGTGGAATCTTTCAACAATAAACTCTGTCAACGACTAGCCAAGGCTACTTTCTTGGAGAATGAATTAAATCAAGCAAGTTCCCAAGAAAGGAGATTAACATTACCTGGTCCAAACTTTCTCAAAGCATATTTTCTTCAATGAACCTCTGGTGACATTTTGTCTTCCTAGAACAGTAGTTTTTAAGGTATAACCACTTTAAAAGTGGAGGTTTCTGTATGTCATATTTTATCAGAATGTACACTAGGCTGTTTTAAAATTGACTGTATCACTAACTCCATAGACTACAATTGAATAGAGACTTTATATTACACTATGTTTACATATCAGCTTGCACACTTAATGTAGTTATGGCTTTAGTTACCAATGTCTATATTTTAGAAATAATGCATAAAATGTATGTTGACGTTTTACAAAAAATTGTCATTAACTTCTAATTAATGCAAGCTAACTAAATAAATCAAAACTAAAAATTAAACAGTTACTTAATATAGACAATTTCATATAATGTTTATCATAATTCACTAATATTCAATTCATGTTACTTTCAGTTTGCCCAATTTTTCTTCATATATTTTTTTAGTAGAAATTCTTTTTCTGTACACTAAAAATATTTTTGAATTGCATATGTAATTTAAGGCTCAGCTTAAAACTTATGTTGTCAGAGAGAAGATCTGAGTTATCAGTTGCAACTCTTCCATCATACCTAAACAAACTCACACACACATACATATATATATATATTATTTTTAACTTGATATATCTCAAATTAATGGTAATATTTATGCATATCTTATTCATGGCGATGTTAATGAAAGATAATTAACACTCAATCTGCATTACGTGTATGTTTGACCTGTTAAACAGTTTTATCCTCAATATATATATCTTTTCTAATTTTATGATACAATAAAAAGCTTGCTGTTTTTACATGATTTGTATTACATGTCATTTTAATAGGATTAAATGGAGCATGCATACTTAGAAGGTTCAAGAAACAGAGAGATGAAGAGTTACTGGTTCATAACACATAACTGGGCTCTTATAGAAACTTGATAATATAGTGTAGTGAACAACAGAATCTTAACCAAGTTTAGAATAATTGTGTTTGAATCAGTTATAAGTAGAAAGATACACTGTACCTGAAGTACATACGAGAGAAAGATATTCAATGCTAATACCTGTATTACTGAAAATCATGTGTTCATATATAACATAGGTATTTATATAAGTTCACTCAAGAGCAAGTGTGCCACTTTTATAATTATAAATAAAATATGGAAATCATTATTTGAGCATTTCCAAATGTCTTAGTGATATAGCTGGTGAGTAATAAATGATGCACTCAGAAAATTCCTCAACCTATCACCAGTAAGGCCAAGCAAACTTGCCTTCACAGCGTCTGTAGATAAAAGAGATGTCTTTGTCACAGGCCACTGCTTCAGCTTTCACTGTCTGTGGGCATTCGCATTCTATGAGCTTGAATTCTATAGATAAACATACTGATAATCAGCATTATACAATAGTTAGCAGTTGACAGCGAAAAAATCAGCAAGTCTGGAATCACCATACATGTTCATTTGTTATCAGCAAGTAATCAGAATATTTTTTTCAAATATCTTGAAACTTAGTTATAACTTCTAAATATTAATCTTGACATTCAAACATCTTGAATTATCTATTTCCTTTCTATTCGACATAGCTTTTTTTGACATGCTGCTCTCAAATGATCTATCAAAAGCCAACAATATCCCAATCTTATCAAATGAAATGTCTCAAGTTACAATTTTGTTCCTTTAATTTTTTTTATTATCATTTTAAATAACACAGAATCCAAACTATATAATTCAGTTTCAATCTCTCTAGATGTTTTTTTTTATTTCAGTATGCTGTTAAATTCTTTCCTAAACCATCTTGCATGTTAACTTATATAATGGGCAGTACAGAAAGTCTCTAGTATGATAGGTGTTAAACTAAGCCCAAAAATAAGCTCCTCACAACCAGCTGGATCTTAACAAATAGTAATAATTGACTAGTGGGTTTTTGCTAACACAAGTGTGGAACAGTCCTAATCACTAAACATGTCTCACCCATTATGTAAACACATACATACATACTTGTGTGTGTGTGTTATAAAAATTTCAGGATAGTCTGTTTAGCTTTTAGCCAAAATATTTTCTGTTGAAAAAATAAAATTACTGAAACAAAGTCAAACTGGATTAAGCTAAAGTCAACTGTCAATTTCAACCAACACAAAATGAATAATGTGAAAAACTTACTAGTGGTATATAAGCAAATGCTAACTACAAACTAAAACAAAAAAATAAAAGAAAGAATCCAGCATGTAGTATAAGACTTCTTGCTCAGTTGTTTTATAGACTTTTACTTGACACTCCAACATTAAGTTACTATGAGTGAAAGGGTTTTTTGGTTACTTCTCACAACACAGTTCCTTTCTCATTTTATACAACCACTGAACAAAGATATTTCAAGGTATCTACTGCAGACTTCTTCTGTTGGAAGAATTTATTAAAAGTGATCTTATCAGCATTCACTGGGAACCAGCTACTTGATGTAATTACTGGCTCAAAATGTGCCTGTTATAAAACTGAGAACTGAAAACTTGCAGAAGAAAAAGTTAAGCTCAAGTATCAGTTTTTTTTTACAATACATATAATGGGTTTATTAATCGGTTACTATTCTTATATCTATCCCAAAAAAAGTGAAATTATAGGTCTTAATACAGTATTAACATTTGTTTTCTACCTCTTCCGCTGAAGACTTATCATTAAGTACCTGTTTGATTAAAAATTAACTAAATATGAAAATGAAACAATTTCTCCAGATCATAGAATCCTAATTTTACTGGTATTATTTTTTTAAATTTCTTCAAAGACTGCAATTAGAATTCACAAAAAACAAACTCATATAAGTTTCGAAACTAGTACATGTGACAATACGTACAAAGAAAAGTTTTCATTATATCTCCTGTGTATACAACTTCATGATCAATTAAATAGGTTTTTGTGTGATCAGAGCAGCAACAGAACCTCCAATATCACTTATTATTCAGTAAAACAAAATCTAAGTTATTCAATCACTTTTGATTATCACAACTTTTTTATTAGTCTCCTTTTTCGTGACCTTTCTTCACCCTGCCTATATGATATTACACAATATTTGTAACACAAGAAACTGAAATATTAAATACTTATTAAAATAATAAATGCAACTTATATGTTAATTCCTATTTGAATGAACATACTTGTTTCTATTAATGAAATAAAATCTGTGAAACAACAGTTATTTCATGTAACAATGGGTTTTGATATTTGTTTTCACAAGCTACCATTTTTCACAACCTTTATTCACATAAAGAGGCAACAAAGTTTGCAACAAGGCCAAGGTATTGTCTGCAGTACCCGTTATTCCAGTCACTTGTGGGAAAGATGATGGACCGTGATATGAACATGTTTATTTCTTGTGAGATTTAGATGGATTTCTGTTTATTACTAAATTAAAAATGAATAATATTTCACATATTCCAATCCCTATAGTTCAGGAAATGCTATATAAAACTAGTATATAGCCCATCAAAAATGATGAGGAAGGACTACCACTACCACCACCACCCTATGGTATACCCTAACTTCACATTTCATAGCTAATTGAAATAAATAAATTTTGCAAAATCAAGCTTGACCAACAAAGAGGTAGAAAAGTGCAGTCAAGGGAGTCAAACGTCAGTGAATTCCTTTGTGAGCCAATCAAAATTAAGATTATTCATGAAATGAATTTGTGGCATATTCATAGAATAATTATTGTTAAAAATCAGATTACCAACTTCTTATACAGTATATAGAAAAGATAGTGCACTTTGGTGACACAACATTTCAACAAAGTCTTTTATGTCATGTTGCTTAGCAACAAAAGTATAACCTAATACTGTTGTTAGTCTATGTACTGAAAGTATAAAATGAAATGTATAAACAACAAAACTGGAATGATATTTGTTAATTTCTTAATTTAGAGTCTCACTTGATTAAAGAGTTTTTTTTTATTAAAAACATTGCTTTATAACAGAATATAGCTTATTTCAGAAAAAAGATTTAAGTTGAAAATTGAATTGATATTTTAACTTTCATGATTAATTTTGTGCACTTTGTTCTTGGCTAGGTGATCCAACACTACGTATTTACTTTATGCTTATTATACCAACACTCACTACACTTAAAAGGTTTCACAGCATCCCCCCTCATGGTCCCCTTGCACCCCCCATCAACTAAAATCATAATAGGCACACAATAATTGAACTATTCTATCTGGATAAATATGTTTTGGCTTTTATGGCTCCTCATTGGCTTTTATATAGGTTAGATAGCTGCTTTATCCAGATCAAAGCAATACTATTTATTACTTTTTCTAAAGAAATTCTAAATAAAACTTACCAACATCTCCAACTAATTTAAACAAGCCATAATCTTGTGCATTAGTAACACCAAATTTTGAAGCTGCCATTCTACCTATTTAAGAGGAAAAGAAAACAAAAACACTCAATATCATGTTTAACATAAAAACAAACTTGTCTTTCATGAATGTTTCTAAAATATTCTTCATCACCTCAACGTAACCCTCCACAGATAGATTTTAACATAATACATGTACTGAGATACAGACCTGCTAGCTGCAATGGAAATGCAAACACTGTATTCACTACACATCTTTACATTCAAAATACTAGATGTACTTCTGCAGGGTCCTCAAAAGTGTTCTGTTTCAAGAGTAAATAAAACCAAAATTAAGAGTAACAAATATTTTTATTTCTTGTTTTTTGAAGCTCATATTTCATGCTGTGTTGTAGCCTACTGAGTGCATAGTTCTTCTCGTGATTTATGGCATGCCCACATTTTACCGACGTCATGACAGTACAACTTCTAACATTAAGCATTCGTTAGGTGATATCATTGTAGTGTCTACTGACTGACTGACTGACAGACAACACACTACTGAATAGTGGTGTGAGTGATTAATACAGGTAACCCCTCTAGGTAGCCTTCAGGGAAATAAACCAATCTTAATTATCAACAGAATGATCTACGAGTTGTAGATTCTAGTTAATTCAGTAAAAGAAGTCTTCAATTAATTCTTGTTTTACCTCTTCATTATTTGAAGCCTCACACAACCTGCTGAAATTAGTAGTAATTTAAAACTCATCTATGTATAATCTTAATTACGATGTCTATTCTTGTAACTCTACAAAATTTTAGAGATCATTTTTACCTCTCTTAATTGTTACAAAAGTAAATAAACAAGTTATTTTAACTCTTTCCCCACCTATGGTTACTTCATTTGCCATATTAACTGCTGTCTTATAATCTTACCAGGTACCAAAATAAAAATCCTATACTGCAATAAAAAATGAAAATTGATCTTTACTAAATTTAAAAAAAAAGTCTCTCAGGTGTTCATTTTTTTTCTCTATACAACAGCTTATGAGTCTGATAATTATGAAAGCCATAATGGCTATAGATAACAAAAATTTAATTTTTGTATTGGGCTCATAACCATGTATAATTTTCCTACAATGACTTTGAAACATAATTACCCATTATCCTAAAATCAACTTCAAATCTAAAGATTTTATTATTCTTTCTGGTATTACAAACTTTATACATCTGCTAAAAGTTCAACTAGGCATAAACGATTAACCAAATCTTTTATAGTTTTAAGAAGCCATTTTTCAACTTGTATTTAAACACATCAATCAACTACATTAGATTAACACTCAAAGAATATTTATTGATTAGTTTTTTAATTAAAAAAATGATCAGAAAATCCTCCTTCTAAACAATGCAAGTTTAGATTATAGGTAGAAAAAGCTGTGATACACTTAAAGATGGTTAGCAACAGACTTAAATTATGTTGACTTACCTTTTAGGAAAAGGTTCATACAGGGGTTTAAAAAATCAAGGAAGTCAATAGAAAAAGGGTTCATTCATGTTTGACAGTTTTATATAATTCTGTCAATACATTAATGAAACAAATTATTAAAATCCTAAGAAGTAAGTAGTAAAATATTTTGATCAACAAAGTAGAATGACTGAAAATCAAAGACATCACAGATAAGACAAATCTCCCTTACTGATTAGTTCAGTATAGAAGTTAATATTGGTGTACAAATATAAGGTAGATAGTGATGCCAATTATTTTTGTAAGGAAAGCTATTATGGGTTAGAAAAAATAATACTAAATAGAGAATTAGACTGAACTACCCTGAGGAAATGGACTACAGCACAATCTTGTTTTAACAAATAGGCAATCTAACAAAAATCCCCTTTCTTTGAAAAGCAAAACACTGGAACCCAAAAAACAGAAAAAAAATGGAAGAGGCCACATACCATGCCTAGCCCTGTACACACACTTTCATTTCCCCATGCCTAGCACTTCACACATTCATTCATTTCCCCATGACAAGCACTGCACACACTCATTCATTTCCCCATGACTAGCACTGCACACACTCATTCATTTCCCCATGCCTAGCACAACACACACTCATTCATCTCCCCATGCCTAGCACTGCACACACACACTTTCATTTCCCCATGCCTAGCACTGCACACACTCATTCATTTTCCCATGTCTAGCATTGCACACTCTTTCATTTCCCCATGCCTAGCTTTGCACACACTCTTTCATTTCTCCACGTCTAGCATTGCACACACTCTTTCATTTCCCCATGTCTAGCATTTCACACACTCTTTCATTTCCCCACATCTAGCATTGCACACATTCTTTCATTTCCCCACGTTTAGCATTGCACACACTCTTTCATTTCCCCACATCTAGCATTGCACACTCTTTCATTTCCCCACGTCTAGCATTGCACACACTCTTTCATTTCCCCATGCCTAGCTTTGCACACACTCTTTCATTTCCCCATGCCTAGCTTTGCACACACTCTTTCATTTCCCCACATCTAGCATTGCACACACACTTTCATTTCCCCATGAGACAGCTTTGTCCTTTGAAGTGCTCAGCTAATGGTACATGTGCAATATGCTGAGTTTGTGTTAAGTTTCTGTACCCGAGTCAGCAATGGCACTATGAAAGCATGTCTTCCATGTTCCCTACAACATCATCTACTCCAAGAAGTGAGTAACACTAATAATAAGTAAGAAAATCAAGATTTTACACAGCCTTGATGCTGGATATAAGTGTAAGCCTCTAGTGATTGGAAAACATTCTCATGGTTTTAAGAATGTTAAGTTTTCCTTTACAAGAGTAGCAAAAATGCTTTGTTGATGCAGGACATCTTTCAGAAATGGGTTTATCATTCATTTAAATGTTAAGTGAGAAACCATTTCTAGCAGGTTGGTTTACTAGAAGACAGCAAAGCCACCCTAAGTCCTGGATAACTGTAAAGCAAATCCTGAGGCAGAAACGATGATAATTAATGAAAACATCTTTGCTGTGTTTCTAATCCCCCAACATAACAAGTTTAATACAGCCTATGGACAACGGCATCATTAGTAATGTGAACCGTTTTTATCGCAGTACTTTTATGGAATGCATTATCAATGATGAAGGTAAAACTGGTGATATTGATGCTTTTCGTAAGTCTCACAACATTAAAGATTCTGTGTATGATTTTACTGCTGTCTGAGATCATGTTTCTGAAATTGCTGGAAGAACTTATGGCCAACTGTTACTTTTGAAGATGATCTTCAGCCCAAGAAATATGAAAGCTTTGGTATGAAGAAAAACATCACTACCACCATTAGGCAATTAGCAAAGAGCTCAGTATCCTTGAAGAATGACCCAGAAGAAACTACAGACATAGTTGGATAGACATACATTATGATGCCCCTGTAACATATCATATGACTGATGAAGAGATTGCTGAGTCTGTTATTAACTCTCCTACAACAGCACCATATGACTGATGATGCAGGTGAAGTGCTAAAAAAAGACCTTTAGTGATGTTTGGGAAGCTGTAAAGGTTATCATACACTTTTGTGAATCTTGTTCTAACTATCTGCAACAGGAAATAATGAATATCTATCAACTTGAAAGCAAAAAGCATAAATCTTTGAAGCAAATAATGCTGAAAAAACTCTTCCTCAAAGCAGTTAAAGGGTCTATTAAGTCAGACACTTGCACCAACCCTCACTCCCAGGCATGGAACTTCACCTTTAGCAAGTGGTGCGAATGCAGAGCTGTTGACCTCAACTGACATTGATAATTTCACCACCCCTCCCTTGTCTGCAATGTTGACTTTTGGAAGCGAAGAGAAGAAAGATGTTTTTGTAAATAAATATAAATAATGATGTATTTTAACAATATAAAACAAATAAAGAATGGTAAATAGTACAAAAAAGTATATTGGGTAAATTAAAAAACATTGGTAAACTTAAGTAATGTCTTTCTTTCATCTGTACCAAGAGTCATTTTCTGTTTCTCCAAATCCCTTTCATTAAAATGATAATTACCTGTACTACCTACTTAAAAAATACCTTAAATTTACTGGTGACTAACATAATGATTGCTTACAAACTTCTTTAGTTGTCATATTAGGGGGAACAGGCAAGGTCTTATAGAGGACGTCTCCACTGCCCTCATCAGGAAACATGACCTTCAGGTAACCCTGCAGGTCACAGATACTTGGTAACCGGGTTTCTCCTTCAGGCTGAAATGGACAAATATACACTCACTGAAATACTACTAAATTAACCACAAGTTAACAAGCCATCCATGTTTTTGAAACTCAGATGTCTCTTTTTTCTCCTTAGCACTGTAACAACAGCAAAAAGGTGACCTATGTATTAGAGGTACTGGAAAGTAACGTTTGTTTTCTTCCTTATACAGCAAAATATTTTTTTAAAGGTATTTACTTTTCAATCAGTTACATAATCCCCATTATTATCAATGACAATGTTCCATCTTTCAGTCAAGCTTTCAATTCCTCATTGATAGAAGGAAGCTTCCTTTGAGACCATGAATTCTCAGAGAGCAATTTTGATGGCATCAACATTTCTGAAAGTTTTATTGCTGCATAGATTTAAATAAATGGTAATCTGAAGGGACAATGTCAGGATAGCATGGAGGGTGAAGCAGGACTTCCCAGTCCAAATCTCTGATCTTGTTCTGAGTCATTCTTGCAGAATGTGGTCTCACATTGTCATGTTGTAGAATGACTCATATTCTGTTGATCAGTGTTGGACAATTTTCAATGAGTGTCTGGTGCAAATGGTCCAATTGTTGACAATAAAGTTCTGCATTTATAGTCTGATTCAATTTCAATAACTCAAAGTGAATTATGCTGACTCTGTCCCACCAAACAGACAACAAGACTTTCTGCAGGTGTAGACCTGGTTCGACTGTCAAAATTGGGTTCAGGCCAGGGCTAAGCCACTGATCCTAGCACTTGGTGTTGACATAAAGAAACCCATTTCTCATCTCCTGTAACAATCCAATGAAGAAATGGTTCTTACTCATATATCGTTATCAATGAATTGTTATGCACTGGGCTTTGTTGTCATCTGACAGTTTGTGTGGAATCAAAACTTCTTCTCTATTGACCTTCCCAATATGTTTAACCCTTTTGCTGCAGGCAGGTCAAAGAGCACATCATGGCATTTTAGTTATTTTCAAAACTTTATTAAATAGCTTTACTATTACTTAAGTTAAAGGAATTGACATCAAAATGAAGGCTATATTTTAAATGTTAATATATATGTTTTAATTTCTTAATTTAAAAGGAAATATATAGAAAAAATGCTAAGTATTACTTTTTGTGTCACATAGCACTTCCTGTTGTGTTATTGTTCCATTTATAATTCATTATGCCTACCACAGAATATGTGCAGTAGTTAGCAAATTAGAAACTAAAACTGGAGATATTGACAAGTTATAGTTAAAAATTAGAACCTCCTACCTCTTTGATTTGCTGAGATATCAATATATTTAGCCAATCTAACAGTTTGGCTCCTCCCACTACTCCATTCTTTCAAAACCTCTTGTCTGGTCCCACCTATTTTTATTTTCTAAGAGTTTATAACCAACAGAAAGAGCAATTATTGATGTATATAAATCTTATATCTGTTAGTAAACAGCTTGAAGGAGAAAATATTTAATTTCACCAAAACTGTTGAAGTGTGATGACTAAGTTATTGCTCTGAAGAGAAATGGGATTTTTTTTAAAGCTCATATAAAGCTTATTTAGACACCCAAATAAATTACAGATAAAATCTTTATACACATATATATAGTATACCACTAAATTTCTAACATACCAGAAGGATTACCAATATTCAAAGAATTGCAATGTTTATTGTATCAGCATCATATAATAAACATTTTGACAGATTCAAAGTGTAGTCTTATTGCTCTGGAGAATTCTTGTTATAAACATTTTATGATACACACATAAGCTGATAAATTCCACATCCTGTTGTCGGCATAAACGTTTTCAGTGATTCTAAGTGCAGTGTGATTATTTTTGTTAAATTTCCCAGTAAATGTTGTAAGATATATAATCCGATACATTAGACATCCTGTTCTCGGAGCAGGGACCAAGTCTGCTATCTCTTCATGCATGCTTTGCTGCTTTCAAAGGTATCATATTATGATGTAAGGTAAACAGTCTACTGACACAAGCAGCAATTTATTGCTTTATTTTCAATGGATTTCTACTTCAGTCATAGACAGTAAAATACACACAGAAGATAAATGTGAAACATTTAGCAGCTGAAACTCTCAAGAGAAGTACTCTGAAATTTCATGAACAATAATCAGTAAAAAAAAGAGCACAGCTGCTCATTTTATTTCTGATTTTACAACTTCTCATTATACTTTGATGATTTGTCTACTGACTGAAGAATAAAATATACTGTTAGGGTAAAGGAAATAATAGATGAAATATAAAATTTTATATTTACTTGGGAGGTTTTAACGATTATGAAAATGAAGATTGAGATTTTATGAGAGAATGAGAAGTATTTTTAAGCTTTAGATAAAAATAACTTTGCTATCAGACTAATAAAACAAAGATTCGATTTATTCATGGACAAGTTGTTAGCAAAAACACTTCATTAAAAAAAAATATTTTTTTCATACAAATGACAAGTAATGTTTACTAAAAGTCTGCCAGATTTTGTGAAGATACACTTACTGTATTAAAAGTAATATTAAAACTACATACAAGTAAAAATGGTCACATGGTCAGTCCCTGGGACCAAGCCTGTATTGAGAGAGTTAAGATGTTCTTGAATGCTAGACCAAGAAGAATTAAGTTTTTCTGATGTTTGTTGGATGGTTTGACAGGAGTCTGACTCAACCTCTCACCTCAGAAGGTCATTGTCCAACTCTACAGGTTTCCCTGAACAATGGCAATCAGAGAGATCGAAATCACCTGACCTAAATTTTCTGAATCACCACTGGCATTTGCAGACACTCAAAGCATCTTTATAAACCTCACAAATGTTTTTGGTTGCCTTGTTACTTTTATGAAACTCATAGAGCATGCAATGTCGATTGTGATTCTTGTTAGGAATGTAGTTGGTCATTTTTATTAGAAGAAAACTATTTTTATTAACAGAAAATTGATGAACAAAAAGGGTTCTTTTGCCTGCTAAATCAAATTTACCTGAAAAGAAATGAAAGCACATCATTCGGTCCCAAAATCGACATTACTTTCCAGTACCTCTACCACACATGTAGCAATACCTCCTCATATCATTTTCAAACCATGAAACCTAAATAATATATTATGATTTTATAAAAAGAAAAAAAGAGACTAAAACTTTTGTTGTTTAAAATAGTTTCTACAAAAACTAGTTGCTGTTCAACATATTCCTCAAATGTTCACATGAGGCCATCTAGGCTCTTCTAATGATATCATTTCAAACACATTAATAGTTTATAATACTCTCAGTTTTCATCTCACTAAAATGAACCTGATGTATCACTGTTGTTTCTTTACCTACCAAAAATAAAAAAAACTTGGTTAAAATAAAAATTGAATGGATGATAATGAAGCAAATTACCACACAACTTGAAACTGCTGTATAGAATCAATACTAAAACCTCGAAATTTATATTCACTCCTTATATTAAAATATACACACATTCAATGATACTATCTTAAATGTTTTAGAAGTACCACTAGTGCCCATTCCATTGTAACAAATATCTTCATGTTGAGCCTCTAGGCACTGTTTTAATCACTTCATATAGTTACTTAGCCACAACCAAATCTCATATTAACCTAACTTCTGAGACTACATAGAACTGTTAATCAAGATCGTAACAAGATATACCACTGAACATTTTAAGTCAGATACCTGTGAAAGAAGACTTCCTCACCTGTTTCAATGGAGTGAACAGTGGATGTACAGGTTTCCTTGTAATTTTCACAGACTCCAGATATAACTGTTTCAGAGCATGGACAGCACTGCTGAGAGTGATCAAGTAATATCCACCCTCTCCTAAATGCCATGAACTGTGTAACAAACCCCACATGTAATTAAATTCTATCTCAGCTGAGGTGAGCTCGCATTGAGAAAGAACATAGACAAGTATTGGAAGAAAGTCTAGGAGAAACAGAATGAAAGGTATCTTAAGCTCACATTTTTCTGTTCTTCAGGTTATTTTTCTAAGAACTTGTAGATTCTACCCTTATAAAAACACGTAATTATATATGTTAAATAAATATTAACTTCTTTATTCCCGCAAAACAATGTTCACAAGTTATATATTTCATACTTTGTTTTTAGTAAAGACATGAAGGTTATTTTCTAACTCATTCATTAAATTATGTGCACGCAGCTTCCTTTGAAGATGAAACTAATTCTTTTATCAGTTTGCTAGTACTTGACTTTCACAGTTAACTATTAGTACCATCACGAACAAAAACAATGTACTCAATTTTGTATCAGTTAAAATATTTACATACTTCAAAGTTCAGTATTCTGCTGTAATTTTAATAATCCTTAAGAGCTTTGAATGTGTCAAATTGATGCACCAGTCTTAATGTTTGCTTTACTGCACTGAAAAAAACTTGACGACCATTTGAAACCTGAGATGAACTTTCTACATATTATGTACCTTCTGTAAAATAAAATCTTATTTTTATATACTACATTTCTTTGAATTATCAGCTTTGAAAAATTGAAGTTTTGTGAATTCTTTTTAAAGAAACAATTAAAAATGCTTACCTTTGTTGTAAATTTCAAAGTTTTATTACATTCTTGTGAAACTTTCGATTGGTTTTTATTTTATAAAACTGTACATTTTGTGTTTTGTCGGTGAAAGAAAACTCGATAAAGTCTTATGCAAAATGATCTAAGTCTCCAAATTATTATCAAACTTGTTCCACAAAATAACTTCCTATCATAATTCAATTAAGTATAAAATTTATACATCAAACTTTTCACAAATTTGAAATAAAAAATAATCAGGACTGTAACTGCAACAGAAGTTGTTTACAAACATATTTTCTTCTAGAAACATAACATCAAGATAGGACTTTATCACTTTGTTCTGATCTTTATGGGAGTCTTTATAGGCTTGGAAACTGCATTGGTTAATACAGCTGAAGACAACAAAAACAGAGCTTTCTTTATGTGTTTAGATCACTATTCTGTAGCTTTCCAAATCTAAGATATAGGTAATTACTTGACACTGTGACAAATGAGGTTGAGAAACAGTAAGTGATTAAAATCTATAAAACTACACTTGTACTGAAGATATGATGTTTAAATTGGTGCCACTTTGTTCAAAACTATTTCAGCATTCCACCTAGGGGACTATGATTGCAGTATCATGCTGAGAAAATATTCGGGAAATTCACACACTAATATTTTTATTTGGACACATTGAAATCAATCCCACATCAAAATTTTCAATTTTTTACAACTTTTACATATATAATATTAAATTAACAAAATAACTTTTTAATAAATGAATTTCAACTCTGAAGTATTGAAAGAAACATGTAGAAGAATGACTACAAGTTTGTTTTCTATAAATTTCATAATTCAATGGTGCAATTTTGACCTCGGGCAACAATTACAACTTGCCAGGCATCAAAAGGTTAAAATTACTCAGTATTATCTGTATGTTAAGTTAGCATTCTACAGATATTGACATAATGTGAAACAATCTAACAACTATTACGCACTTTAAATCGAAAGTAAAGAAATTTCCTCTGACTGAAAGGCTCTGGTTTGTGTGATAAGATTATTTCTTGTCTATTTGACATGCAGTGATCTTTCACAGCTTTACTTAATATCATTCATTTACAAAAGAAAATTCACTATCAGATTATAAAGTGATTAAATTAAAAATTATTGTCACCCTTAGATCCAAATTTGTTTACACTAATCCCATTACCATTTAAAAAAATCATGATTATTAAGATAGAAGTTTTGATTTAGCTTTTCACTGTTAATTTTCATGTCAACATTTAAAGTAGATACCTTGTACAAAATGTGTGTCAGCCACAATGATTTCTGTACCAGACTAACTAGACTGAAATTTCTTTAGTTTAGTGAGAATTCTTATAAATTTAAGAATAATAAAATATACTTTTTAATATGCTGCATATTAAAAAAATGAATGCCTTATATCTGGAATATAATATTTTTTCATGTTCATTTAATGTTTCAAACGTCATTTGTTGGTTCAGCAAATCTTTTTTTTTTCTTGCTGATAACTAGAGAAACTGAAAACAGCTCATCTTGCTTTGAAGTATTCAGATTATGGTGACTATGGTATTTATTATTATTTTCCATAAAAAACCAAACAGTAATTCAAGTTATAGTGATGTCATTCAATATTTAAATGGTATAGCAGAACAAAAACCCCTATGTGTACTTTACAAGAGTTAATCATGAGACTTTTCTTGTAGCACTTAACTTTACTAGTTATTCACTGGAATATTCTTGTAACACTTTCATACAAATAGTCATCAGATTGCTTTTTAACACAGTATCAGAGCTGATCTATGTTCTTGTAGCATTAATATGTAGTAAAGATATTCAGTGAATTGTTCTTTTAGCACTTAACTTTAGTACAGCTATTCAATGGATTGTTCTTTTAGCACTTAACTTTAGTACAGTTATTCAATGGATTGTTCTTTTAGCACTTAACTTTAGTATTTCAATGGATTGTTCTTTTAGTGCTTAATTTTAGTACAGTTATTTACTGGATTGTTCTTTTAGCACTTTACTTTATCAAAATTATTTATTGGATTGTTCTTTTAGCACTTAACTTTAGTACAGTTATTTACTGGATTGTTCTTTTAGTGCACACAACTTTAGCAGTTAATCAGTGGACTGTTCTCGTAGCACTTATAATAGAACTGGAAAATTAAATGTTCACAACTGTTGAAATTTATAACAAATCTATAATTTTTGCTGATCAAGCCAACACGATGACTTGTTGGTATCAACCTAATTATACACATTTACACAGTTCTTTATGTACTTTAAAAAGAAACTACAAATAATATAAATAAATCACACTTACCATCAGCACCTATAGAAGTATGCTCTTTTCTTTGGGTACTTCCAGTATCATTCACCTGTTGAAAATGTTAAGTAACTTTCAAGCAGTACTGATCATACTTGTGTGTGTGTGTGTGTGTATATATACATACCACAAATATATACAAGTCACTGGTTATAAAAATAATACAAACTTAACAAGCATGCTATACAGCATAACACAAATGCAAATCTCCTAAAGTGCTTCAGTGAAGAGAAAAATATTAAATATTGGGAAAAAAGTTACAGTAATGCACATACACAACAAAGTAGTAAACATCTAGGAAACAGGAAGTTCATTGAAGACATTTTTACTACAATCATCCAGCATTGTTTAACCACATTTATTATAATAAAAGTTTTTTAATTTTATAGCTTTGATAATTAACAGTTATTAGTGTTCTTAATACAAACAGCACTGCAGCTGAGCTTCTGACTGCTGTAGGTCCAGCATTCTAAAGAGACTTTTGGTGAACAGAAGGTAGACTTAAATTTTTATTTTTATGCACTTCTAAGTTTGAAACTTGTGACAGACTAAGATACTTTTTTTCATAAAATCTACAACAAAATTTAATACTGTAACATATTTATGAAAATGTACACATTACAATATTATTGAAATCCTGTTTCACATGACATTTAAGGATTCACTTCAAAAGAATGTAATGAGTTCTGTGGTTCAAATTTATCACACAATCCTGCACATACGTTTTAAATATTTTCTGATTTTTCTAAAAGCTGGTTCAATTATAGGATATCTTTATTTTTCTATGGGTATCCTAACAGTGTTGACATAAAAAAAAATCATCTCATCCATAATTACAAGAAATATAAATTGTGGTAATTATCACAGGATTTACATTTCTATACATGGATACAACATTATCAAACACTAACTAATCAATCAATCAATGAAAGCACGAGTTTTTAACCCTATTTTGTTTCATTGAATCAGTAATGACACTAGCAATAGAAAGTTCAGACTGCTTTAAAGGTGTTGAAGGAATTAAATCTTTCCTGATGAGACTGTAAAAACTACAAACAATGAACTTACACTATTGCACACAATAGACATTGCTCTTAAGAGGTTCTCAAGTTTCTTCAAAGGAGAGTGTTCATTTTCCATTTGTTTAAAATATGTCTTTACAACAGCAAGACAGCCCGAGCCTGGTGGTTCCAATACCTTCTAAAAATTTAGAGCCCAGTATGTTATATAGACAATTAAGAAATATTTTAAACTTCTCAAATATTTATGAAATCTTATATCATACATCTTTTGTACATTAATACGTATAGGACCAAATAATATACTGCAGTAAACACACGTTTTTAAAATTTCAGAAACTTTTCATATTTCTTTTCTTGCAAGCAAAGTGATACAAAAAAAAAAGAATACTCTTTAAAAGTGTTAAATACATGTACTCATATATCAACACAGCACAGAGTCATGCTATTTTATTTTCTGATACTACACAGTTTCTAGTTATTAAAACACTTTTAATTTTGTGTATTAAAATACATATGGTTTCATAACCTACTTTTTAAGTTTCATCAAAAGTGATAAAATGTTAAAGGTACAGTTTTATACTCTTAACACACAGGGTTAAATTCACCAAAAGTCACACAAAAAATATTTGATTTTTGTTATAACGTTTTAAACATTTAAATTTAAATACGTGTTATTTAGCTTGAGCCTTCTAAGACCATAGATGAGGACCCCAACCTAATTTAATAGAAATTTTAAACAACAGCCACTCTGAAGTACCTTACTTTCATGACAATCTATTCTGCGAAAGTAAAAAAAAAACAATCTTGGCATAAATAATTTTGTGTGGTCATGTTTATTGCAATAAACAATATTCTTGCTAAAAATATTGCTTTGTCAGATGTCAGGGAAGTTTAAAAGTTCTGCATATGTAAAGGCTCTCCAAGATCATCTTGTGGTCCTCAGTTTGGGAACCACTACTTTATGGCATGTTCTACATATATTATTTTGTTCTTTTTATATCTTCAGGTTAAAATACAAAATATGTAATACCACATCATGAAGCTCATAGACAGTATTCCTCTGATTTATTGTTTTCTTTTTTTCCATAATCCTCAGCCTTCTTTGACTTTTCAGTTCAGTGATGAGTTAATAGATCTTTTTTTTAATATCTTTTAAAAAGAAAAGTAATTTTTCCTACCCGAATTCCAAGTTCCCGAGGAGTCTTACTTTTAGCATATTTTATGCCTTCCCTTAGTGAAAATAATGAATTATCCCTGAAAATAACAAAAGAAATGAGATAAAGTACACAATCACTGAAAAATAAATAAATCCCTTAAATATACTACTTATTATCATCTTATTACAAAGCCCAAACAACTAATATTATACTACATTCATTATGAACAGACTGTGGTAAGAGAAAAATCTGATGATAAAAGTGCTTTATTCACATTTCTTAAAACCTATTTGAAGTCAAACTATTACCACAAAAAAATTACAATTGACTATAGGCTATCCTATGCCATCAAGTTATTACAAAATCATACTAGGGGGGAAAACTCCTGCTTCATTTCCAAAACATTTTTTTGGTTGTAGTACTTTACACGCCCAAAATTTGTAAAATGTAAATGTGTATTTAAATTAATTAAAACAGTTATGTGACCTGCCTAAACTACTCACATATGAGGTTAGGCACAAAGACTTCTGAACGAGTCCAATGGCCAGTTAAAAAGTCTTGTTGACTGCACGGTTAAACCTATTCCAAAACATGATGCCCACCAAATACCTCTTATTAAAAAAAGACACTTTAAGACAAATGATCTGATCAAAAATGACAAACCAATCAACTTATCTAGTAAGAAACATCAGATCTAGCAATGCTTTCAAAACCTGGGAAGTTGGGACAAGTATTAAAACTCAGTGATATTTCTCCCAGATCCTTACTCAACAGGATGACAGTACTCTAATTGTCTATAAACAAATGAAGAAATTCACACACAAATACTGCTGTCTAAGATTGGCTCTGAGGAATCACAGATCCATTCCACAAATACCTTTCCCTTTGCAATGCACAATACTGTTTACACCCACTCCTTTCTTAAGTATATGGTAATGTTGTTCATGCTGATCCATCTTCTCCTAATTGAATTTTTGCATAGTTTGAAGTTTAAAAAGCTTACCGAGCACACACACACACAAGTTACTCTTTTAATTATATAGATAACATTCCAAGTTCAGATATGCTTATTAATTCTAATAAGAGCTGTAGTAATTTGATTTCTCCAAAGTTCGTAAAAGACAATTAACCCTTTCAGTGTGGACAGACACAATTTCTCGATTGGAGAAGGAAATTTGTGCCAAAAAACATACGGTAGCTCTGAGCATTCCTCACAAAACCTCATAAGATTTTGTTAAAGTTTAAGTATTTTGTACACAAAGAATGACATTATTCTAATTACATCTTTCTAATAAAAATGTTATTTATCTATAGTAGTTATCTGCACCCAAAGTGTTCAAATAGTTCAAGTTCAAGGTGATTTTCATTTTAAGTATAAGAATAATTTTCTTCATCTTATAGTTTTCATATTTCATTTGTATAATCTCTAGAACCTCCTAAATGAATATCAAAAGTTTTTTTTTCAGGTAAAAACATTTTTTCAGGTAAATGTTTATATATTATTTTCTCTACCATATCACTAACTAGCTTTTATCATCAATGTGCAATGAAATGATTAAATTTAGGAAATAGAAAAAAAAATACATACCTTTAATTTTTTTTAGAATATCTTTAAAGATATTCTTTTGGCTATATTAGTAATTTCAGGTCTTTTCCTTTTCACATATAGTTAATTTTTAATGTTTGATTTTCTATTCTTATCCTTTACAATTTATTCTTCATCTTGATATAAGTCAATGGAGCATTCTAGCCATATTACAGTGACTCTGGCAGACATACGCAACCCATTGACAAAATTTACATGCACCATGTAATATCGTAAACCAAGAGAACTGATGCAAAGTATGATGCATATTTTAAAAAATTTGTAAACCTTTCAATTATGCATTTTAAAACATAACTATTACATAATTAACTAACATGTAATAGTAAGACCTAAATACAATTTAAACTGTATCTCTAACATATTTCAGTAAGAAACAACTGTAAGTGCTAGGTTGATCAAGCAGCCAACAATACTACAGTCAACAGAATACCAAAACAGCAGTTAATATATGTGCATAGCCTACAAATTGTAAGTACAGGTATATCTGCTATAATGCATGGAATTCATAACTAAAAAGCAGAGCATTATAGAAACGCAGGTTGTAATATGCAGGTTTTCCCATTGGAACAATGTTATAAGTCAGTGATGCATTCATGCAAAATTATTTTTCCCTTAAAGTCAATTTCATTAATGGTATAAACCACTTTTACAACATATACTGATACATATTAATGTAAAGGAACAAATATTACAAGCAAGACATTTAATTTGAAAACAAATAACACAATATCATGTGTAGAAATTTGTGAAAAAACCAACTGTCAGAAACTAGTTTTGACACATTCATGTGTCCTCTTCATTCTCACATTGTCTTCTGGCAGGAAAAACTGGTCAGCAAATGTTTATTTTAACCACTGTTCTTGGAATCCCCTTAAGGACACAGGAGGTCACGAAGTTTTTTTAGTTTAAAGTGACCTAGTTATTTAGGCAGGCTTTTGATTAAGCAACTTTCGACGATTCTTTTTTTTTATGTAGTTATTCGTTTTGTATAAAATTCTTGTTGATTTCCAATTCATTTAATGGCCAGAGTCTCTCACATGAAGAAAAATGGCATTGTCTTGATTTTCATATTTTATATTTTTTTTTATGTTCAGCAACTCTCGTGTCAACGCTTCTTCCGATTTTTCTCACATAACCTTTCTCACAAGATTGGCATGATAGTTTTGTGAAGTAATTTGCATGTTTGTTTTCATTTTTTTATATTTTTAAATTTTTTTGTATTTAAAATCCACATAACTCCAAATCATGCAGTGCATTATAGCAATTCTGGTGCTAAAAAAAATCACATAACTCCAAATCCACATTATAGCAGGTATACCTGTATATAATAAATAAATACATGTAATTTTAAAAAAAAAAGTTACACTGTTTGATTTGCAAGTTTTGAAAGTGACTATCCATAAAAGTATTTGTCTATAGCTACTAATGATAACACTGATTACTTGGTATTTTATCAGATCCTAATAACTATAACTACAGATTTTTTTATATTAATGAACCCAGTAATTAGCATAAGTGTAGGTTTTTATGTCAAAAATCTATAAATTCTCACCGTGAATATTTATGATTTAAAATTAAATATATATCATCCTTCAATGGTTTGATCACCAGCTCATGAAGAGTTTCCTCTATTATCAAATCCATGTTCAAAAACTTGTTCGCTTGTAGCTAAGAAGAAATGTAGTTCAACATCACACTCAGTTTTAATGTTTGGATTACATGCAAGTAAATAACATATATAAATGCCATGTGGTAAGACAATTTTTTCAAACATAAATGCAAAAAGTAATAAAATATATATTCAGAACAGCATATTTTTTTCTTAAATTAGCTGCTATGGTGAATATTGCATTTTGGGAAAACATTAAAAGGATACAACCTGATCATTTTACACTCTTTAAACCCTAATATTTCTTCTAATACATAATGCATACTGACATGTATTATCTTGGCTTATGCATCTTGCACAGTTTAGAATGTTCACACACCATATACTGTTGATACAAACATTCACATATTGTGCATTATTGTTAAGAATGTTCACACACTGTACATTACCATTAAGAATGCGCACACAATACGCATTGTGGTTAAAAATGTTCACACATTGTACATTACTGTTAAAATGTTCACAAACACACTGTGCAATGTTGTCAAGAAGTTTCACACTGTTAACTGTTGTAATAAAAAAAAATTCAAAGATATCCTCTATCTCTCTGAAAATAAGATTCATTTTTAGCACATATCAACTATTGTTTTATATTTCAGAAATGTAAATTTATTGGCACTCAAAAGTAAACTAACCTAAGGGGCAAAAATTAAAACATTACAAATTTCTGTGTTTTATTTCCTATTATTGGCATATGCAGTAGGAGGAATAATTAAGTTTCAGTAAATCTGAAATATTAAGTGCTTAAGCAATCCATTCATGGCAATATAAAACACACACACACATGAGCAGATGCACATTTTTAAAATAAGTTGACATACAAAATACTTTTTTTTACTTACTGAACAGTTTATATCAGGGTTAGAATTGTCAGTCTGACAATATTAAATAATTAATATATGTATATATAACAATCAACCAAGTTTTTAATACAAGTCGTTGTGCAAATAATACGTTTAAATTCAGTCCTTTCACTCAATACCAGACAGCTGAGTGACAGTATTCAAAGTCTTAGTTGGAACTGTTTGTAGAAGTCAAATATGAGACAACAAATTTTAAAGTGTAGAACACATGTAAACTGCTTAAACATGACACTTTATAATATTGTGTGTGTAATATTACATCAAAATAAAACTAATAATAATTAAAACAATTTTGTTTGATAGTGGCTTACAATAAACACAATACAGTTGCAATGGTGTATAACCTTTTCTAACTAGAAATCTGTACTGGTTCAGTGGAAAATGACATAATTCAAGTTAGCATCAGTTTTACAGTAAATTGGTATCACACTTCATCTATGTTAAAACAAAGTGAATTTGCCTAAAATAGTCTTGTTTATCCAAAATTATGCATATGTTACACATACAAAACTTCTTGTCTGTGTACTTACGATACTTCACATAAATACAACCACTTTTTCTCTTACCTTGCCTCGTTCTTGCATTATTAGTTCAACAAACTTTCCTTCCCCATTCTTCACTAGAAAGTTACTCAAGCCACTCATGAACTGTCTGATCTACGAGATGAAAAATATGAAGATGACATCCAAACTTACTCTACTCTACAAGAATAACTTTAACCTTATGTTTATCTTTCACTTTTGTAATTTAACATTATTCAAATCATTTGTGGAAACAAAAAACATATGGTGAACCAAAAAAAATTAAAATCAAGTTCTTGGTCTTATTAGTATTTTAGGTAAATTTACAAACTCATATGAAAAATTGTGATTTACATAAATATGACCTTATCTACCATACACAAGATGATTTTAAAAACTTATAACTAGATAACAATAAAACTAGGTTTAATAAACTACAAATGCAATGTAAAAAAAACTGGTACTACAACCATGGAAATAAACCTATCATAATTTTATAATTAAACAAATGGAACATTGCTAAGAAGGAAAAAGTTCACAAATACCAAATCTAAAACTTAAAACAAAATTGCTTTATTTTTTAGTTTTTTTATGATCCCAATAAACCCATTTGTTAAGAAAACTCATTCATGATTAACAAATACATGCACAATTTTCTACTTCATGTAATCTTAATGTTCTTACACGTTTGAGGTAATCTTCTGGATTTACTTGTTGGCTTTCCTTGGTACATTTTATGAAGCTATCAATCTTCTTGGCAAAGAATGTACTATTGTCATTAGCTAAGCTGTGTGAGAGAAACAGAAAAGCCAGTAAATATAAGTGCTTCATCTATCTTACATAAAACAGTGATTAAGTTAAATATTTTTAAGTCTGTTGAACTGTGTCAGTAAGAAATAAAATTAAATCATTCTTAATATTAACTTAAATAAATGTTAAAATAAGAACACAAATGTTATTTGGTTTTCCAGTATACATCATTAAGTGCAGATCTCTGGAAGTTTTTAGTTTTATGTACTTCTAATGTGTTCCAGCACTTGTTTCTTTTTTCCAGTTCTGATGCTTTTTTTTTCTCCCTCAGATCTGCTGAATATTAATGAAATGACATCAAAAAGTACTTCACAATAGAAGATTTTGAAGATATTAGATATTATAAAAAATACTATCAATTAAATTTGTATTTATGGCAAAGCTGCTAAGTCCATCTGCCCCAATTGCTAATTTTGAACTATTGACCAGAGGGAAGGCAGCCAGTAAACAGCACCCTACCACCTATCATACATGCTGAGGGATTTTCACTCTTATAAAGCACCAAAAGCTTAAAGTGTGAAGAATACAGATTCAAACCCTGCTCCAAAACCAAAGGCTCTACCACAGGGTCAACACACCCCCACTAGCATTAAAAACCTATTTTATACTCACAACACTAGTCAATTTGTATGCCCTTTTCACTTCATAAACCTTCAGTCTTTTTTTAGTATCTTATATGGCATATAATTTATTAACCATTAGGAAACTAAAGTCTCCTCGATTGTGTGAAAGTAGAATTCCCCTTTTTATTTTGATTAAAAATATAAGCTGTTCATAAGAAATGATGCTGCAACAAAAGTCACATAATACAATCTCCAAATCCTATGAGGAAGATGAACATGATGCTGAACTGATTTTAAACATCATGGCTGAGGAATAAAAATTACAAGGACTTAATCTACCAACCACTAATTTGAACACACGGTAGCCACAGATTGTCAAAGTAAGGAATTCCTTGTCACTGTCATAGAGATTTGTTGTTGTTTTTTCAGTCCATTTCTCATCACTTTAAATTGAAAAAGTTCAAAACTAAATGAAACACTGCATACATAGTTTTTTCTCAAGGTTTGTTTTGTTTTGAATTTTGTGCAAAGCTATACAGGGGCTATCAGTGAAAGACTAGAGGGAAGGCAGCTAGTCATCACCACCCACTGCAAACTCTTGGGCTACTCTTTTACCAATGAATAGTGGGATTGATCATCACATTATAACACCCCATGGCTGAAAGGGCGAACATGTTTGGTGGGCCGGGGATTCAAACCCTCAGATTGCGAGTCAACAGCTCTGACCACCTGGCCATGCCAGACCTTTTTCTCACGGAGAAAATTTTCATAAACAGAATTTTTCAAAGTAGATTATGAAACTTGAAACAATAAAAATTTCCCAATTCTTTTGTCTCTAGGCTTATAAACATGAGACAAACTAATTTAATCAGTGATATAACAAGCACAGCGGGAAAGCCTTAAAAAGAAAAGTGATGATCAATATATTAAACATAAGAGTAGCACTTAGAAAATCATATCTAGTTGACATATTTATATATAAATGCTGTTCAACTCAACATTTTTTATATTTAGGCTTAAAATAGCAGTTGGACATCAGATATTTTTTGACTAAAAATTGGATATATTTGACAAAGATGGCTTCAGTACAGACATTTTGCCTGGTAAGTTCTTATTACAACATTAACCTCAAGAAACAGCTTTGCTAAAAAGCTCTACGAGTCAGATTTCTTTTATTATGAAATGTTTTTTTCAATATCATGTTTCTCCCCACCCCTCATGGTCACCTTGAAAGTTCAGGCTAGTTTTCCCATCCCATGTGCATGATTTGATTATCATAAGCAATATTTTTTCTTAGTTTACTTATTCTAACTGTTAGAAAATTCACTCTGTGCTAAGCCATTACTTTAGCTGTGTCATTATGTAAACAACAGAATTTGAAATGTTGCATGCTAAAGTAACAATGGAACAGAAATATCAACACCTGTTGCTTGTCACTTGATTATAATTTCAGAAATAAAATTAAAGTTCTAATCTGTAAAGAAATGAAAGAGAAGTTTTATATCAAAATTGCATATTTTGATTATTTTATTCTACTTTTCAATAGTTTTCGTTCACTTCTGATTATATTGTTGATTGTTTATTTTTTTGAATAAGAAACAACTTATTTCAACATCAGAAATGCATAAGTAAAATAACTTTGTTTCATGAGTAGTTGTAAATTGGATTTTATCATCTTCAGTGGTAAGTTTGTAAAAAAAACAAGATATTCCTTCATAAAGTTGTGGCAACATTTGGGATTTGCTGTTCAGTCCAGTGCAGGCACATTTGAACATTACTGTAGATATTATAGTAAGAAAGCTTATTGGTACTTGAATATCATTTCTTTGAACTTTCAAACAAGTTTATTTCAACATATGTCCTTGTATGTTGTTTCACTATACAGACAAAACTAATTGCCACTACTAGTGAATGTATGTAATACTAATAGTTTACAGTACAGGTGGTTTGAATAACATCACCTGACCCTAATTACTTGATACATCCTGTTAGAAGAGATTACCAAAATGATACAGACACCATAAATTACAAAGAAAATTACTTTACAGCGCTTAAAAGATTAGTCCTGGTCACATTCCTCTCATTATAGGCAAGATTTGTGTTCGAATTTGAAATTTTAAGCTCTTCAGTGTATTGAGACCCCAACTATGAGAATGTCATAGCTTCCCCTGTATTATTGAGATGAATGTATTTAGTCTGTTTCACAACCAACATGTGGGTTTTATTGTTGTCACTTGTACACTTAGTTTTAAACCATTTGCAAAATATCAAAGTACTATTGACCAATACAAAATACAACCTCTACATAAAACGTCAGTTACTATAATAAGCACCACCCATATTCATATTGTAAAATCCAGGGAACAATGCTTTGTCAAGTGCATTGCTTATCATCCTATGAGTTGTCAAACATAAAATACAGTGATTGGAATAACATGCCAATGAAATTGACACATTCGACTAGGATTGGCTAAAAGTTTTACAACTGAGGTTTAACATACCCAGACGCCGTTTTATAAAGAAAACAGACTAGAAAAAAGGTTTAGATACCAATCATAGATGGCAGGACCAGCACTAAAGTGGAAGGAAACTTTTTTTTAACTTTAAACAAAACATTTTCTTCTTAGAGAGCACTTATTTATAGTCTCAAAGGTATTTTTGGATTTTTTTATTAAATTTCTCTTTAAATTTTATTAAATAATACAATTTTGTGCAAATAATTGAATGTTATGAAACTATTTACAAAAATTTTGAAATAGACTAAAGGATATTAGTTTGTTTGACATGGACTGCAGGTTCATTTGAACTGATTAAAAAATAAATACATTAAGAAACACAAGCATATCTCTAGCATCAATTTTTGTGTGTGAACTCCATACAGGTGAAAAAGACTAACCAGCTCCTGTCCTTAGTGCCTCTTTTATAAGTTTTTTTTAAAATTCAACAATGTACAATCACTAATGTTATTTCTGTCTTCTGGTGAGTAAACCAGTTGTAATGTCATGGAAACAGGAAAAACAAATTATGCTTTATCAGGATAGATATACAATCCTACTTAATACTTTTTATTTTTTCTTGCTTTCAAAGCTGTTAGAAATCTCTCTCATCTTTTTTTTTTCTTTAAAAAATCATGGCTTACAAATATAAACAAGTTCTAAAATAACTAACTCCAAATTACGCTCAGTAACTGTTATATGCAGTATCTGCTCTACATTTCACAAAATTCATAAACTCAGTTATTCCATTATCACAAGCAATTTATTAGTTTCACAGAAACATGACTCAAAACGATTAATTTAAAATTTTAACTTACTGACAAACACCAAGAAACGAAAATTTTGTTTAACCCAACAAACACAGAAGTTGACACAAGCAGTTTAGAAAGGAAAAAATATGTTTTCTTCTCACTCAATCTTCTTATATACCAACAAATTAAGTTTTACAAATGCAGTAATTACAAACAGTTCAAGATTTGTAGAATTACATATTATATAAAGATTTAAACTAGACGAATTTAATTCTCTATACACTGTATACAATTTAATACAACTAACAATTTCCTCAAATACATGATAATGAAATTTTGGAATGCAACAGAGTACCTGAAAATATAGTTTCTAATAACTTCATCTTGTGGTGTATGAATATTCCATGGTGCAGTTGTTACATGACCTGTTAAGAAAAAAAATAAAATTTTCCACATAAATTTATAAAACAAAATTCCACCATCAGCAATAAGAAATATGAAAAAAAAAGCTAAATTAATGAGCTAAATTAATAATTGTTTCCACTGAATATACATACATTATTAGGTCTATATATTAACACCAGAACTATCAATGGGGTCCATCAGCCTATTATACATTTTTCTAAACTATTTATGCACGAAGCCATGGGTTCATGAGGTTTTTGGTCACACGGTCCCCAATAACAGTGGCACACAAATAAAATCACAAATAAATACCATTGCAATTGCCCCTGAGGTAGATAGATCCAGAATTGTCAAAAAGTGTTCATAAAGAAAGCTACAGGTAAACAAGTAACACTTTAACTTAAAGAAAAAAAAAGGAAAGTGAATAGCTGCAAACTTTGTCCTGCATTGTAGTGAATATAGTTATGTTATGTTTTTTAATACATGATATTTTATAAATACTATCATCATAATAGCTTCACTAATATATTTTTGTGTAAGTCAGAAACAGTTGGAAGTAAAATGAAATATTGTAACCTGTGGTTTCAGAATGTGAATGAATGGATGAGTGGCTGGGTTTAAGTAGTGGATGGTTGGTTCTGTTTGATACTCCTAAATGTTCACAGACTCTAGTTTTTAAGTGACATTTCGTTCTGCCAATGTACATGACCTTACAGTCACTACATATATATTTATACATGAGCCATGAACATAGACGTTATCTATAGATTTTTTCAACAAAGAAATATGTTTTCAAAATATAAACAGTGTAACATAATGTTGTCAAAATTGCATGTTTATTACTTCATTAGTCCTCTTCTATTCATTTCTGTAATGCACAATCAATAGATCTGGTGGAAACATTCAAAAGAGATGAGCCTTGGATGCAAAGCTAGCTTCAGCACCACTTTTGATATAAAAATTCCTGAGTTTAAACAACCACACAATCATCATTCTAAAGTTGCAAGTGTAGCTTAAACCAAATGTTCCAGTGCTATGCACTTCCATGTGAGAACTTCCCTTGATAAACCTGGACAGATCTTTTCTCAGTCCTTTCTCCCAAGTGGATGCTGATGTACAACAATGCTTCCTGCAGAAAAAAGCCTCATAAGCAGTCCAGGCTATCAGACATTCATTTTCAGTTCTACAGCCCCTTCAACATTTTACACACCTAAATGACTAGACAAATACACCAGGACACAAACTATAACCTTTCACATTCATGAAAATGGACCAGAATCCAGAAACAGACTCATAACCTTTGCCATAGCTGATGGCCCACTTTGAATGAATAATTCTAACATGGTTTTTGTAGATGGTAACTTCCATATGAAACCAGCCCAGTTCCAAGAAGTGTACATCATCCACATTTCCTTTAGTAATGTTTCAATCTCTTGTGCTTATATTCCCATGCAAAGAAATTGCCATGCTGCATAAGAACTATTTCAGGCCATCATGGACAAGTGTAAAGACATGGGTCTTGAGATGCAAGTAAAGATTGTGATATCAGACTTTGAAGATGCCATGCTGGATAAGAACTATTTCAGGCCATCATGGACAAGTGTAAAGACATGGGTCTTGAGATGCAAGTAAAGATTGTGATATCAGACTTTGAAGATGCAATGCTGCATGTTGAAGCTGCTGTCTTTAGAAAACATGTGAACAGACAGGGGTGTTTCTATCACCAAATACAAAGTACCTAGCATAAGATACGACAGTTAGGTTTGACCCAACATTACAGTGATGGGTGGGCTTGTCTCCTTCCAACAGCAAATTTCCCTAAAAGCATACTTTAACCAGTCCAACATTGGTGGTGGATCCTACTGACATCTACAACCAACAACAGGTGCCCCAAGTAGACAGTTCCGCCCACATGACTCCTATGTTCCAACCTACAACCAAAAATGTCCACCAACCAACATTTAATTCTCTCCCATGGAACAACATTTGGAACAGATTGAATATCAAGTCCTCCAACTCATTTTTTGACCATACATGTTTTTCATTGTTATAATCAACACAAGCTGACGCACCTGTCCTACATCTAAGAACACAAGGATTTAATGTAGGGCTTGAACAAATAATATAAATCAAGAAATTGAATTTATATGCATAATGTATTTCACACATAATTTATGTTACAACTACTTTATTTCACACCTACTTTATTCCACATTACAGAAATGGTGTTACTATTACTTTATTACTTTTACAAATCCCTCTCTACAGCCTCAGTGTTTGTTAATAGTCTGGGTGCTTCTTGATGGACCACATTAGAAGTTCTTTCTCCTTCCTGGGCCAAAGTAGAGAGATTTCTTGGTAATCCTACTCTTGAACACCCAACATTAAATTGACCATGCAAAAAGCAAGGGGTTTTCAGATGTAGCCCTGCTACTTTAAAGGTCTGACCTTGTGCTTAGGTTGTCATTTTTCCTGGTAAAAATGTGAAATTTAAATTTGTCAAGAAAATTTCAAAAAAAAAATCCAGAAAAAACTCAAAATTAAACATTTTAGGAATTAAAATTGGTTTAAGACTGTGTAGTTATTAGCTAAATAAACATAGTTTTTCTGTGGGTGTAGTCCAGGATAGGTGGGGCCAGGTAATACCCACCCTATGGTCTCATGTATCATCCTACCAAGTTTGGTTGAGATTGGTCCAAAGACCACATAGTAGTTCGCAAACAAACAAATTTTTTCTTTTTCAAGTATAGATTACAATCAATCCCTTTGGTATGGAAAACCATTCATTATGTGCACTGTGAACAAGAAACTGTAGACACTATCATCCACAAAGATGCAACTGGAAATCCTAAAAAAAAAGCTAGTTAAACAGTCAGTTGCACACGTCCAGTACCTTCCGCAAATGGTGTGTTCTGAACACGTCAAATGCAGAAAGACTATTTCAGAATTCCTGCATAAAGTCGGCTACAATGAGCTGATGTATAGAAATAAGTGATTTCTTTTAGTTTTTGAATGTTTGTTTTTTTGTCATTCTTCGTAGTAAGGATAATATAAAACATTATATTAAAATAAGAATGACTTTCAATAACTGAGCTTGTTATTTTCTGTAGTAAAAATAGTATGAATTTGTTTTTGGATTCATCATTCTTTATAAAAAAAAATGTATTTGTTTTTTGGCTTTGTCATTCTCTTTAATAAGATTAGCATGTATTCATTTTTGGATTCATTATTCTTCATAGTAAGGATAACATGACATAAATTGTTAGGATGAGAATGATTCCTAATAATTAAGCTATAATATTAATAGTAATGAAAAGTGAAAACATTAAGGATACAAACAATAAATTGAAAATTTAATGATTTCTTTCATGTTGATTTTTCATCACTGATTTATTCTGTGTTACTTCTCTTGCTGTTTCTGCCTTTCCTACATTCTTATCAAAAGTTCTAGGATTTTATTGATGTTTGTTTTCCCAATTTTTATTTTATTTGTTTTCATTGTTATGATCAATATTGCAATTAATTTTACTGATTATTGGAGATTTTTGTATGTATTTTAGATAAAAATTAGTTATTTCAGACATTTTTTTTGGTCAGTTCAGTTCTTCACACTGTGTGTCATAACCTAAAACTGCTCAACATGATGCAGTATGTGGGCATCAGTGAATGGTATAAAAATGAGTCAGTAATTTAACATAACAATGTCTATGGACAACAAGGGACCTACTGGTCCATCTTGGCTGTCCCATCCTCTAAACTATTATTTTTTTTTAATCTTAAAGCCAGCCCTTATCATTCATATAATTTATAAACATTCTCTTAAACACACTTAAACTTTCTGCTTCCACAACATCTGAAGGCAACCCCATTCCAGAGGCCAACCACCCTGTCTTATCTGAAGATGACTCCAACTTAGCCAAAATTTATATTTTTGTCCACTAGTCTTACTATTCTTGCCATTAAGTATGGGAAAAAAAAGATGAAGCATCAACATTGTCAATTCCTTTACATTTTTAAACAATTTATTCAGATCCCCTCTAACTCTTCTTTTTTCAAGAGATTTGTTTGTTTGTTTTTGAATTTCGGGCAAAGCTATCTGTGCTAGCCGTCCCTAATTTAGAAGTGTAAGACTAAAGGGAAGGCAGCTAGTCATCACCACCCACTGCCAACTCTTGGGCTACTCTTTTACCAACGAATAGTGGGATTGACCACCACATTATAATTCCCCCACGGCTGAAAGGGTGAGCATGTTTGGTGTGACGGAGATTCAAACCCACGACCCTCAGATTACGAGACGAGTGCCCTAACCACCTGGCCATGCCGGGCCTTTTTTCAAGAGAAAACAATTTCAAAGATCTTAATCTCTCCTCATATGACAAACCCTTCTTCCCAGGCACCATTCTAGTAATCCTCCTCTGAACCCTTTCCAACAATTCAATGTCCTTCCTAAGGTAAAGAGCCCAAGACTGAGCACAAACCTCAAATGTTGCCTAACCAGTGACCTGTACAATGAAATTATAGCCTCTTTAGACTTGTATTCAATATTTCTGTCGATACAACCTAAATTCCCATTTGTCCTACCACTAACAACAACACACTGCTTGGATGACTTAAGAGACTGACCAACCATTACACTAAGATCCCTTTCTTTCATGACACTGTTAAGGTTATTCCCATCCAAATTATACTTATAATTTAAATTATGATAATCCACACGCATTATCTTGCATGTATTATAATTAAAACCCATCTAAATCCTTTTGTAAATCAGCAGCATCCTCTTCACAGCTAGCAACACCCAAGACCTTTAATATCATCTGCAAGTTTAAGTAATTTATTGACCATTCTTTCATCTGTCATTGATGTAAATCAAAAAGAGCAAAGATTCTAAGACTGAACCCTAAGGTACTCTTATTTGTCACATTAATCCAGTTTGACTGAACTCCATTTGTAACAACCCTCTGCTTTTTTCCATCCAGCCATTTTTCTATCCAATTAGCTAGCTTATCCCCACACCTAGATATTTTTTTTAATTTGAAGGGTAATATGCTCAAGGTTAATATAAAGTAAAAATAATAAAATACTGCAAATAATGTTTGTGATCCTGAAACAAAATAAAGTGTGGATGTGAACAAAATGGGTAATATATACAAACTGTTGAGTAAACTGTGTTAACAAAATTTTCAATATGCAAATTATCAACCTTACTCAACATCAGGCAGCAGTGGAACAATGTGTGTCATAGTTCCATTTTTTAAATTGTTTGAAATTTTGTTAGTGTGATGCCACCAAAACTGGTTGCTTTTAGAAAGGGTATGTAAAAGCCCTTTCCTACAAAAAATTTTAATACAATTAGATCATAAAGATGAGTTTACGTAAGTGATTTAGAATTTTTAAGACAGGAATGTCTGTTTTACTTAATTATATTTTAAAACAAAAAATATGGATCAACTTGGGAAACCAGGACCATCCAAAAACATACTTGCAACAAGTTGTAGCTGATATGTGGTAAGCAAAATGTTGTATCTTATAACAGTTGAGAAATCACAAACACTAGGTTCACTGGCAAAAGTCATCCACTGTCGCACGCAACAGTATTCGATATAATCAACAAGGATGTCCATTTGAAAAATGACACGAGACACATGTAAACAAGCTGTTTTCACAATATATCTGTTCAATCATTACATACCTCAAATAGCTGAAGAATAAAACTAGTATTCATGCTATTCTGTATGAAGACACTGTAGGCAAGTCACCAGATGCAATGACCACAGATTTATGTGTAAATGGAATGATGAAAAAGATACTGGGAACCATCATCCCATGCATTATATGGATTATAGAAAGCATGCTCAGGAGTGGTATGATTTGAATATGACAGAATTATAACAGGGCAATGGAAACTATGCCACAGGTTTATTGTTAAGATGCATAACCAGATGTAGCAATATGGACTATAATGACATAATATGGCTCCAAAATCATTTTAATATAACACAAGTAATAAAAAACATTTTGTAAAGGTAAAATGATGTAAGAATGGCAGTGCCATAAATAATGTAAACAACAGTATAGGGATGATACAGCCATACACAGATCACCCCTACTTGACTTTCAATATTAAAATTTAATGTTAAACTGTAAAATGCACGAGTACAAAATGGTTAAGAGGTCGGTCAATTAGACCAACTTCGTAGTGAGAGTCTGTAATAGTCTATAATAATCAAGACATATTTTAACTCAACTTGGTGTTTGTTGTACGCAAGTCCTAGGCTCTTGGTTTCACTATGTTGATGCCTACCTTGACATGACTATGACATTATGATAAACACACTGCATACCAACAGTCAGAAATATATAACTTCCAACTGCAGTAATATTAAAGTTAAGTATGCATTTTACAGTTTAACATTAAAGTTTAATATATAAAGTCAAGGAGGGAAGTTCTATGTATAGCTGTATAATCCCTATATTCATGTTCACATTCTTTTTGGCACTGCCAACTCAACCTCATTTTAAATTTACAAAGTGTTTTTATTACTCGTTTTGTGACATTTTTTTCCCTGACCAAAAGTTAGTGTGTGATAAAATATAATATTATATGTATTGATTATTTTCTGTTCATTCACTTCATACATAATATATGGGTTTGACTCCCTAAAATCACCACTGTATAGTGTACAAAGCATTGAGTATTCTCCATGTTACAGTCATCCAATATTCATCCACTATTGGCTGGTAATTTCTGTTTCACCCTGTACTTAAATTTTTTAAAGAAACACCAGATTTCTGTAAAACTCTAACTTCAAGGGGTAATGATAACATTGTTTACACTAGAATTATGATTTTTTAAAATTACTACTAGCTATTACAACTAAGCAATGACATTGTGCACTGCTCAGAAACACATAGAGCAGACTTAGGTTTAAAGTGATGTTAGTGATAGAGTAATTGTAGAGTTATCTTGACTGAAACAAGAAGAAGAAAGATAATTTGATGGGTTGGTCACTTCTGGTTTGGTAACTTAGCGATGGTTTCTTACCTTGTTTTTGGGATTGTTGGGCAAAGAAACTAATGAAAGTGAGTGACAATTACCTTTTCAAGTAAAACTCTGTCATTTTTATTTTTAGCAGTATTATGCCTATTCAGTATCTTGGCCAATCATTACATATATATAATCTACCGACTATATGATATTCAAACTTTATCTACGTATGTTTTTACCAGGAGGCTTTACCCAAGCCAACCACTTTTGTTGCAATTCTTTGTTTCACTTACGTTTAAACATAGTTCTCTTGCATAGGATCAACAGAGAAAAAAAATTAAAATAAAAGTAATGTACAAATACAATTTAACCCTTTCCAGACCACAGAGTACCTTTCAAATTTTAAGTGCACATCAGCATATAAAATTTCAAAATTTGAGTAAATATAGTAATTATAATTAATTTTTTTACTCATAAATATTTCAAAATTAATAATTTGTCATTTTGTATCATTTCTTTAGTGTAATTCATAAATACAATTGAAACAATTACAAACTTTCATAGCTACAAGGAATCTTGCCTGTAAACAATACAGGCTCTGAATAAAACATGAAAGTAAAACAGTTTATATTGGATTTACACAAGGACTAGACACAGGACACACTAGTTACACAGGAATTTTTAGTTGGCTAGTTTGAAGTGTGCAGACCAAAGGCATGGCTGCATGCAGCTATTGTCTGATTCACCAACATGAACAGCTCAGCATGTTAATATTTTAATATTCAATATTTTGGTAAGATTTCCAGACAACCTGCTGTTTGCACGTTAACTCTGCTCGACCTAGAGAAAGCAAAAGTTAGTAATTTATATGAGTGCCTCACTGCATCTAAAATAGGAAACTGTAAAAAATAAAAAAAATTTGAAAAAGTAAATGCCATTTTCTAGTAACCAAAGGATTTAGATTCAAGCTCTGGAGTCTGGTTCCAAAACACAAGTACTGAAACCAAAAACCAATGTCACAATTTTTTGTTTAGATTTCCTTCAAAGTTAATGAAGTCTAGAATTTTGATTCATCTTGCCATATCTTTTTTATACACCTATATTCACAGACACATAAACAGTACCTGAAGTATGGACACTGCAACTTCTTTTCACACAGTCATCTGCCAAAAAGTTTGTTAAATCCTGATTCTGGACATCAATGTTTGATTCTCTGCCACTATTCAATAATGCTGTGTCATGTGATGTATCACAACTTGATGTTTCTTTCTAAAAAAAAAAGCAGTTGCAAATGCTTACATATTACTGCATCAATACAATTTAAAACTTTAGTTTTGTCTTCTTAAAAAAAACAAGGTAATAACAGTTCCCTTGCCAAATAATTAACTCATATCATATGGTAGATGTCACTGTTTTCAATCACATACGATGAGTAGGCAACAATGAAGATAACAGGTTTAAATCATATATATACATCATTAAAGTAAAACTAACTTTCAAAATAGTTAACTGCCAGAGGCAGCTCTAGAGATAGCAAGACCCTAGGTGAAAGTCATACATGAGGCCCCTTGATGTGAGAAAAAAGTTTCAGATATTAAGTGAAATAAAACATCAATATATGATCACAGTTTATTGGATAGGTACAATTACAATTATATTTCACTTTTCTGCATGTGGTAGTGCTAAATTCATCTATAAGAGAGGAATAATCTAATTATGAAGCCAAATTATGTTCAATAGAAAGAATAGCCAATGCCGATAACCTCTCTTGTTTTTATTAATTTCAATTTTGAAAAAAAGATCTTTCTGCTAAAGCAACTGTAACCGGGATTGTTAATATAATTCTTAATGCTCTATAAACATTACGATAAACTTCAATTCAATTATTATCTATAATATATTTTAGTGAATCATGAATGTCTATGTTTGAAGGTACAGTCTTGGTACACATTCTTAGTTTCTCGAATAATTCTTCGCCATTTATATCAGTTGGACTTGTAGTTCTTTACAACACTGTAAAAGTTCTTCATCGAACTTGTTCTTTAAGGATGAAATATCGTAGATAAAACCAAAATTTAAGCCCTCAAATCGAGGTCCAGCACTTGCACAAATCATGCAACAATGACATTAAAGTATTAAGTTTTGAAAATGTCTACAGGGGTAGCACTAGTTTTGTCTGGACACTCGTAATCAAAATGTATTTTCTTCTTCCATAGCCTAAGTTCTTTAAAATTCCTCAGAATGCCCATTTCATCAGCTATTTCACTGGCAGTCACTATATCAGAGTCAAAACCGTTTCTTCTATAATTATCTAGCCAGCATAGAAATTCCTCAAAATGTTTCAATACCATGTCTAACTGCATACTACACTGTTGTCATACTTTATTAATTAGGTTTATTTTCACTAAAATACACTACTAAAGAAAGTACAAACTTGTACAACAAAATTTCTTCTTGTATCGAACTGCATTCATTACAAAATTTTTTATTGCTGCTTATTTCTGACAGTTTTTCTAGGCAAGCAGGAATATCTTTCAATTGGTATCAGGCAACCTTCACACTCTCCACTCTTCATTCCCATCTGGTCTCGACCAAAGGTTTGACAGTAATAATTACTCTTTTCTTTAACATAATCCATCTTTTGGATGAACCAGAAGATAATGTATACAGCCTTTGCAAACTCCAAAAAATAAACTAGCCTTTGTACAAGACACTGCTGCATCACTAAGCACTAAATTCCAACTGTCACATCCACAAGGTGTAAAGAAGGTTAAAGGATAAATATTTAGAATTCATGTTTTTACATCACTCTTTTCTCCTAGCATGTTAGCTCCTTTATCGTATCTTTGTCAATAGCAGTTTTTGATGTCCAGTCCTAGGTTGTTGATTTGTGAAAGTACGCAATTTGTTAATTCTTCAGCCGTAATTTTTTCTACTGGTATAAATCCGACAAAATGTTCCTCAATGTCTCACGAGTTTTCAGCAATATCATCATCATTTGTTCGATGTGACTCACGTCTGTAGTACAGTCCAGAATTATTGAATAATATTTTGCTTGCTGTATATTTTGAATAATTGCAAGTTTAACATGTTTGGCCATCAATGCTATTAACTCATTTTGAATTTTTTTTCCCAAATAATGATTATGAAGACTATTATCTTCTATGCGATGTAAGTGTTCTCGAATAACAGGATCAAACTTCGCAGTAAACTTATCCAGGTCTAAGAAGTTTCCACTTCTTTCCTGTTCTAAACTATCCCTATGACCTCTAAATGTCATGTTATGCGATGCTATATTATGAATTATGGCCAAGAATCTTTCCAAAATATCACGCCAGCGTTGCTTTTCCTGCTGTATTTGATTTTGAATCGCTATATTAATAGTCTTCCCGCATTTCAGTCTCTTTTTCTGATTCCAACCATTTCAAGGCACACTCTATGTGATCTGAACTGTACTCATGAGACTTGAGACGACTACTGAGGTTCTACCAATCATTACAGCTGTGAGATACTCACGCTACACTTGAGGATGAGAATAGACAACAGGCAAAACAACAAACACTGTTTTTGCTTGGAGAGTAAACCAACCAACACCTTTCTTGTTTTTCATTGTTGCTTAGAATTCTAATGTAATGGGGAGAAATGCCTGTTTTATCATCCACTGGGAAAGATACATTTTCTTCTTGAATCAGGCCTTTGAGAATATTATTTATTCTATCTATAACCTGTATTGGGAAATTCCATTCACCAAGATCATAACAGATTTATGTTTCCTTAAGATCATCGGATTTTAATGTATTAACAGAATTTTGCTGACTTTTTGTAGACACTTCATCAGATGTATCTATCAGAGCATTATTATACTCACAGTGAATGGATGTGCTTTGAGAATCTTCTCCCTCGGCCAAACCATTTCCTGCATCTTCATTTTCATTCTCAATTGCACTTTCAGACTGACTTACTTTTTTCACCTATAAGTATTTCAGCATTGAACCATGTAACTGTTCTTTGCATTCTTCCAAAGTCGCCCACTTTCGTCTATTTGCATAACCAAATTCAAATTTTATGCCCTTGTCACGTTCTCTTCCGCTCTTAGACATTTTTGTGATGGGTATAGTCTTATTATTTTATTATTTGCTACTAACCACAATATTAATTCCAACATGTCAACCCCTACCATCACAGTTTTTAAGGCTAAAATCTCCTGAACAAAATTTGTTGAACCATCTTTGACACTTACAAACATTCAAAACATTTCCATAAACTTCTCTGATATTCTTTGTCGTTACATAGGCATTGTTTCCCTCCTTGTATTTAAACAGCATTACATGCTGAATGTGTGTCTTGTCGTGCCAATACTATAAGGGATTAGAGTATACTAAACTTTACACATTATATAGGCTACACTAACATGATGTTTAGGCAGTTTGT